TTATTTTAAATTCCTTATCGATTCATTAGCGTGGGATTGTGTGGCACCCAAAAATTCCCAACAATTGGTAGGATAAAACGCTGCAGATGCGGCAACTGGCTTTAAGCTCGACGGCTTTGGCCTCCAGCTGAGACCCCTTTGGCTTGTGTGATTCCTCTCTGCATTTCGCCTCTGCGCTTCAATCTTCTGCTTTCCTCGTTTCATCTCTCTCTTTCTGCGCTTGCTAATTGGCTTACCTCGTTCTCACCTTACAATCACTTCCAAGGAGCCAAACATGCCTCATGGCCTCATTTCCGCTGTGGGGATTCATCATGCAAAATTCATTCCACCGTTTTCCGCTACGTGTTCTTTTTAGCATGTATCTATTTTTAATTTAGTTACCACAGGATATACGAGCAGTAGATTTATTTACCGCGACTTGATAATTAAAATATTATTCTTAATAAATTAATAACCAAAGAGCATTAAATAATTTCATATGCAGTTATACGCAGTGATTTTTACATTTTTGTTATTGTAAAATGTAAAATCAACCCCAATTTTTTTTTTTTGTACAAAGGGAATTGAGAGCAAAGGAGAGGAGATTCAGAGATAAGAGGTTCAAACTACAGTGCTATGAGTGAAAAATTGAGAGTAGGGGATAAAAGGTTCAAACTACAATGTTATGAGTGAAAAATTCAAAGGGTGACCACAATGTCTCTTAATCAAGGACAAGTAAATATTGCCTAAGTCAAAATGATTTGGCAGGAACTCATGGTCAAAGCAATTTCATCATTATAGAGATAAAAAAAACTTTTCAAGTTCTGATCTGCGAATTTCATTTTTTATTCTTTTAAAAAGTGCTAAGAAATGCATTCAAGTCCAATTCGGACATCAAGTTAGCTGATCCTAGAAATCCCCCAAAAAAGGGAAAAATCTCATGCATGGAGACTGTCTATTTACACAGATTTTCTTTTTAGCTCTTCCAAAACATCAATTGCTAACCAGAATCCAACTGATGCCATGCAGAGGTTAACATTCATTGGACCATAACCAAGATGTTCATGGTAGCTGCCAGGAAACCAATAGTGTCTGATGATTTAGTTATGCAAATGCCACCTGCAGAGTCAAATATAATTAAAATGGTTAGAAACTGAGATATCAAAAGGGTAGCACCTTATGTGACATTTGCTTCCACATATTGCATTAGAATTTCTAGCAAAATTATTCAACACCGAAACATCCCACCCCCTCCCCTCCTCTCTCCTTTCTATTTTCATTTTATTCTCTGTCGTAAAATAGTTTTTGCAATAACACTGATTATATTGTCTCAGGTGGTTCAACCGTGTAATTGGAATCTGAAACATGCAGCTATCACAATCAAGAAGCAAGTTTCTAATTTTTCCAATTTATGGAGAAGCAAGTTAAATGATCTTGGTGTTCTAGAATAAGGAATCTTTGGGGGTTAAAGACGCACGGGAGAAACTTGGTATTAGAACTTCAAGCAAATTCACATTTAACCAAAGATGCATCCCAGTGGAAATAATTAAAGATAACTAATGTTCATGAATTTTTACTAAAAGTTATGTTGAAGAGGTAACACTGACCTAACTTTTGTTGTTTACCATTCTTGACGGTCAATATACATAAGCTTTTCACCTTCCATGTTGCTTATTGGCGAAATCCAGTCACAAACCGTTCAACTCCAGCAAAATCAGATACTATGTTAAAATTGCAGAAGATGCCTGGGTAAGAACTCTCCATATAATCTTTGAGAAACTTGCATTGCTTCTGACCATTTGTCTGCAAAGGAATGGAAAAGAAAAGAAGAGAAATAAATTGAAGCAATTAATTCCTACATGGTCCAAACAATTATATTTACCAAAGCAACGCTAAAACACAATCTACAAAACAAGAAAGTACTTCAAAATTGCCAAATTCCTAAGTTTGTTTTGCAATATTACCAATTTGCCATTCATTCATAACTATTTGTATCAGTATAGCATCAATGGGATTTTTCTCTTTACGATTGTCTCACAGCAATAATCACAGTTGGTGAAAGCCCTCAGCAATCAGATTTAGTTTGACAAACAACATGGGGAAGAATCATAATAAGTATAAAAAAAGCACAACAATAACAGTAACAAAGATTATAATCATAGAGCAACTGTTGTTCCTTTTCTTTTCCTTCTCATCTGACATATATGTGCATCATATTGTACATCAGTTAAGCAATATAAATAACAGCATCTCAACATATGAGTAAAAGCCATTTATAAATCTCCCAACAGAATAACTGCACGTTAAGTTCTTTACCGATTGTTTACTAGCAATGGGCATCAGCTAATATTCATAGAAATATTGAAAAATAAATAATATAAAAAATGAATAATATTGCACAAATAAAAGAAATCAAAAACACTCTAGCAACTTGGCTTGAATGAAACTGGACACAATACCTCAAAAGCAAAAAATCCCTTAGGTTTCAACTTTGAGGCAGCTCCATTGATAATATGGAGAAGATCATTCATGCCACTGATACCACCATCTAATGCAAGTCTTGGTTCATGTCTGCCAACTTCAGCTTGTAGCCCAGAGATATCATCACTTGGAATGTAGGGTGGATTACTTACAATACCAGCAAGTTTTCCTTCAACATCCTTCAATGGTTCAAACCAAGATCCTTCCCTCACCTCAATCATCCCCTGGTTGAAACATAAAAAACACAGCCTAAAAGTGACCGAACTGATTAAAAAAAAACCCATAAAACAAAATGAGAAGGGCCAAAACCATGAAAAGATTATTTCTTTTCAAAAAGATCACAAAATTGTATTCCCTGCATTTGTATATTATTCAGGGATACATGAAAAGCACAATATCATACATTCACCACATTAGGGAAAACACCATTAAATTGAAAAACTCGTGATTCAGTGACAGGGCATATACAAAGAAAAGGCAAAATAGAACAGAAGAGTGTAAACCGTTGCAATAATATGACTATTGACTAATTCACCGACCTGAAGGCCATATCTCTGCACATTAAAAGAAGCCACCGCAACTGCCACAGGGCTTAAGTCAGTGGCAATTACTCTTCCACTAGCCCCCAGGATCCTCCCAATTCCAATAGCAATAGCGCCACTACCAGTCCCCAAATCTGCCCACAAACCTTCCGCGAGCTCTCCATTACTCGACAACGCATCTTCCACCAAATCAACAATGAACTCAGTTTCAGGCCTCGGAATCAAAACCCCTTCTTGCACACTCAGTACCAAATCCCTCCAATGCTCACACCCAACTATATACTGAAAGGGTCTTCTCTCCTCTATCCGCTGCTTCCAAAGAGTATAAAGCTCGTCCAAAGATGCTCTTAGCCTAACATTTTCGGGATTATTTTGAACACCCAGTTGAGATATCAATGAATGGTCTTCAATTGAGTCCTCCATGAACCAGTTTAGTTCCCTGAAGAGAAGGGTGGAGTCCGGACCGTTGTCAAGGTCGACAAAAGTTGAACCGACTGACAAAGCCATCCCTTTAGCCCACTTATGCCATTTTTTGAGGTCTGATAAAGAGGCTGAGAATTGCAGTGGCCTTAGGAAGATCGGCGTTTTGAGTTTTATGGCTGAAGGTAGTGATACTTTCGGAGAAGATGAGATGGGTCTGCGGAGATTTGCGCGAAGAGTGCGTATACCAGGTACAGAGAAAAGAGAAGAGCTTAGCTTCATCCCTCCTCTCGCCCCGTTGTGCTTCGTTGAGTTTCTTTTCCTATTGCCGTTTTCTTATTCGGGTTCCTGTTAGGATCCGATTCGGTGATTTTCGAGAAAAATAAAACATAAAATAAAATAGAATTTTTTATTTGAATGATGATACCGAATACGAATATATGGGAGGATTTTACGAAATTAATGACATAATTTGTTGATTATTTATTGTATTAGATCTTTTTTAAAGTAATATTTTGTTGAGATGATAGTCACCTCATGTTCATCTTATATTTTTGTCTCGTTTTATCGTCTCAATTATCATTATTTTTTTTATTTTTCAGAGTAGACAGAATGAAAATTACAATTTTACCTTATATTTAATAATTTAAATTAAGTAATCTACCCCACACAATACAATTTTCTATTTTTGAATAAACTAAATAGAAACAATAGTGTTCAATTAATGTTTCCAAAGAGTCTTTCATTTCAAAATTATGCATTATTTCTCTTTCATTTTATTTATCATGATGTGTATTTTTAAATTATATTTTTATATAAAAAATACAT